ATAACTAACATTGCCCAAAGACTAACATTGCCTATAGACTAACATTGCCCATAGACTAACATTACCCATAGACTAACATTACCCATAGACTAACATTACCCATAGACTGATATTACCAATAGACTAATATTCCCCATAGATTTCGATTTAAAGCTTTCGTGACTGCAAGGATTCATCTTCTTTGGTTCTTTCGGTAAAGTCACGTAGAATGAGAATAAAATAATAATTGATAAAAAAATATAATAAAATTCTCACGACGTTTCGGCCACAACACAAGCGGCCTTCATCAGGTGAAGGGACGAGACTGTCTGGAGGACAGCGCTGGAGCGAACACAGCCAAGCCCAGACCGCGACCTTTAAGCTGTGTGAGAAGAAACAGAGCGCCTTGACAAAGGAATTAGCATAGAATTTAGCATTGAAATAGCTGAGTGATTAGCTTATGACTGGTCACAGAAATAGCTATGTTAAAGTCAAAGCCTACACATCCACAGAGGCACATAGTACAAATCAAACAGGAGAATTTAGCATTGAAATAACTGAGGGATTAGCTTGTGACTGGTCATAGAAATAGTTATGTTAAAGTCAAAGCCTACACATCCACAGAGACACCTAGTATAAATCAAACAGGAGAATTTAGCATTGAAATAGCTGAGTGATTAGCTTGTGACTGGTCACAGAAATGGCTATGTTAAAGTTAAAGCCTACACATCCACAGAGGCACCTAGTACAAATCAAACAGGAGAATTTAGCATTGAAATAACTGAGGGATTAGCTTGTGACTGGTCATAGAAATAGTTATGTTAAAGTCAAAGCCTACACATCTACAGAGGCACCTAGTACAAATCAAACAGGAGAATTTAGCATTGAAATAGCTGAGTGATTAGCTTGTGACTGGTCACAGAAATGGCTATGTTAAAGTCAAAGCCTCCACATCCACAGAGGCACCTAGTATAAATCAAACAGGGTAAAATAGCATTGAAATAACTGAGGGATTAGCTTGTAACTGGTCATAGAAATAGCTATGTTAAAGTCAAAGCCTACACATCTACAGAGGCACCTAGTACATGGACGCTTGTGTTGTGGCCGAAACGTCGTGATAATTTTATTGTGTTATTTTGTTTTATTAATTCATTATTTTATTCTCATTCTACGTGACTTTACCGAAAGAACCAAAGAAGATTCCCCATAGAATAACATTACCCATAGACTGATATTACCCATAGACTAACATTGCCCATAGACTAACATTGCCCATATACTAACATTGCCCATAGACTAACATTGCCCATAGACTAACATTGCCCAGAGACTAACATTGCCCATAGACTTACATTGCCTATAGTCTAACATTGCCCAGAGACTAACATTGCCCATAGACTAACATTGCCCAGAGACTTACATTGCCCATAGATTAACATTGCCCATAGACTGTTCTATTCCTGAATATGGCAGCGGTGTGTTCAGGAGCCAGATGCCAATGTCGAGGTCTGCTGCTGCTGTTGGCCACGAGAGGGCTTCAGCAGGGACAGGGACAGAGTTCGTGTCGTGTCGCTGTTCCTGCTCCTCCTCCTCCGTTAAAGAAGCGCAGACGACCACAGTGGTGTTCACTGTGCAGTCCGTAGCGTGGGTTGCATGTCCACAGTCGCACTGCTACTGTGGCCTGTCTTTAAAGTATCTCTATGGGTCTCTATGCATCTCTATGCGTGTCAGTGGGTCTCTATGCATCTCTATGGGTCTCTATGTATCTCTATGGGTTTACTACATGGTCTATAGTGTGGGTTGCATGGCCACAGTCGCACTGCTACTGTGGCCTGTCTTTAAAGTATGTCTATGGGTATCTCTATGCATCTCTATGAGTGTCAATGGGTCTCTATGCATCTCTATGAGTGTCAATGGGTCTCTAAGTATCTCTATGGGTCTCTATGCATCTCTATGAGTGTCAATGGGTCTTTATGCATCTCTGTGGGTCTCTATGTATCTCTATGGGTTTACTACATGGTCCATAGTGTGGGTTGCATGGCCCACAGTCGCACTATGATTGTGGCTTGACTTTAAGAGCCGTCCATAAATGACGTCACGCACCTGGGGGGGGAGGGGGGTCAGACATTTGTGACGATGTGTGACGAGGAGGGGAGGGGGGGTTGAGAAATGTGACGTCACATCGAAATGCGCAACTTGAAATCAATATTAACTAAATAGAATTGTTGTAACACTAATTTTGATAAATGTTCATGATTAACTATTTGATTATTTAAATTTACTAAGGTCACCTTTTAGTAATTCCATGAAGGAGCATTTTGCTTCTCCATGGGAGAATGGAGAAGCATACATTTTGTAATTTGTTTTTAATGATTGTTATTAAATATTTTGATTCTAATGATTCTACCAGGGCTTTTCATTCTGTTAAATAAATATGATTGTTCTAATTGTACTCTCCATTTTGCTTCGTTCTACTACAAAGTTTAAAGTATTTTTATAGTTATAAATAGTTTTATATTTTATAATTATGAGAGAATTTCAATATAATATTCTGATATCTGCAATTTTTGTTAGACATTGAATATTTTCAAGTGAATTTTATGCAAAATTTCAGCTTTCCAACGCCTCCTTTTTAATACGTGTTTTCCCCTACAACATCAGAGTGCAGCGCCACAATAAATACGCACTACAATGGCAATAGTTTAAAGTGATTTGAAGCATGTTTCATTTTCAAAATGGGAATATGGTTTTGGGGGGGGGGGGCAGAGCTTTGTGATATCATATTTGAGGGGGTCTGACTTTTTGTGACGCCGTGTGACGAGGGGGGGAGTCAAAAATCGACCAAAATCGCGTGACGTCATTTATGGACGGCCCCTTAAAGCATGTCTATGGGTATCTATGCATCTCGATGAATGTCAATGGGTCTCTATGTATCTCTATGGGTCTCTATGTATCTCTATGGGTTTACGACATGGTTCATAGTGTGGGTTGCATGGCCCACAGTCGCACTATGATTGTGGTCTTGTTGTCTTTAATTCGCCATTCATGAATGAGATGTTGTGCCATCGATACCTGGTGATGTTCCGACGCGGTTTTTTGGCTAGACCAGTGTCTGCGAGGAATGTTGTTTGGTGCTGTACACCAGCGTCACGTGTGGTGCTGTACACCAGGGTCACGTGTGGTGCTGTACACCGGCGTCACGTGTGGTGCTGTTCACCAGCGTCACGTGTGGTGATGCACACCAACGTCACGTGTGGTGCTGTCCACCAGCGTCACGTGTGGTGATGCACACCAACGTCACGTGTGGTGATGCACACCAACGTCACGTGTGGTGCTGTACACCAGAGTCACGTGTGGTGCTGTACACCAGAGTCACGTGTGGTGATGCACACCAACGTCACGTGTGGTGATGCACACCAGCGTCACGTGTGGTGCTGTCCACCAGTGTCACGTGTGGTGCTGTCCACCAGCGTCACGTGTGGCGCTGTACACCAGCGTCACGTGTGGTGCTGTCCACCAGCGTCACGTGTGGTGCTGCACACCAGCGTCACGTGTGGTGGTGTACACCAGAGTCACGTGTGGTGCTGTCCACCAGCGTCACGTGTGGTGATGCACACCAGCGTCACGTGTGGTTATGTACACCAGCGTCAAGTGTGGTGATGCACACCAACGTCACGTGTGGTGCTGTCCACCAGCGTCACGTGTGGTGATGTACACCAGCGTCACGTGTGGTGATGTACACCAGCGTCACGTGTGGTGATGTACACCAGCGTCACGTGTGGTGCTGTCACCTCCTGGCCACCACCGCCCAGCAGGTTCACGAGTTCCGTACATCTCTACGTGATCCATCAACCCTCGGCTCCCAAAGGGCTGGATCACGCTCAAATCTATTCGTGTTGACAATGCATCGAATCGCCGTCTCCCCGCACCGCCCCCCTTTATTGATCGCTCGATTTAAGTGTCGATAGCGAGAACCGATTCAGGTCACAACAAATTTAGCTTTTCTGTACCTGATGATGGCTGCTTGTGTTGCAACCGAAACGTCGTACGCTATTATGTTATTTATTATTTCTTATTTATACGTGACTTTACCGAAAAACCCAAAGAGTAATTCCTGCAGTCACGAAAGCTTCAAATCAAGTCACAACATGGAGTTGGGTGGCCAACATTACACCCGGCCGCCTTTGGCTACCCAATGCTGTTGTTAGGTACACATTTCAGGCTGAGTCGACCTAGGGGAGGCACAGGACCAATACACGCGAATATAAACACACACAAAGACAAAGATCCCCCGTATAGCCTGTAGCAGACTGCTGGGCAAGTGCTGTTAGCGAGTAGCTCCTATGAAGGCCGGAACGGCACACGAGGGGGTGTGGCCAGCACCACGCCCGGCCGCCTTTGTCTCCCCAGTGATGATGTTTACACACCACACCAGGTACTCATTTGAGGCTGAGTCGACCTAGGGGAGTCCCAGGACCGGTTCAGATAATCGTCACCGGTGTTGACCATGAGCGGGAATCGAACTCGGGTCGCCGGGTTCAGCAGCGCAGCGTTGCGCTGACCACCACCACCACTCACCACCACCACTCCCCACAACCACCACCACCACTCACCACCACCACTCCCCACAACCACCACCACCACTCACCACCACCACCACCGCTCCCCACCACCACCACCGCTCCCCACCACCACCACTCACCACCACCGCTCCCCACCACCACCACCACCGCTCCCCACCACCACCACTCACCACCACCGCTCCCCACCACCACCACCACCGCTCCCCACAACCACCACCACCGCTCCCCACCACCACCGCTCCCCACCACCACACTCGCAGCCACCCCACGTCGCCACGAGCCACCCGCCAGGCAGAGCAGCACGTGGAGCTCCAACACGCCCCTCGCGCGCGATACGCCCACCACAACCACCACCACCGCCTTTGTCTCCCAACCACCACCAACAACCACCCCCACACGGCCCACCAACTTCCTCTCTCTCTCTCTGACTGGCCACGAGCACACCAAATGTTTGTGTGTGTGGGTGGGGGGGTCACGAAGCGTCGCACCAATCGCTCGCTTCGCCCGGCCGTCAAATCGCATCCGCATTGAGCAACGCGAAAGTTGTTCCACACCCCTCTCTCTCATCATCCCTCCTGCTCCTCCTCCTCCTTCTTCCTCGGCGATGTACATTTGTGTAAATGCAGCGAACCCACCCACAAGCAACGTTCAAATGCAGTGAGCGCGCTGCGCCGTTTTGTCAGCGTTTGAATTCGGTTGTAGTTCTGCATTGTCCACGTCGGTGTGCGTTGTTGTTGTTGAAAGTGACCGTCCAGGGTAGAGAGGCATGCAATGGGGCACGAGTTAACCGTAAATATTTTGGGACGCCGAGGAGGAATGTCGATGGGGAGGAGGATGACGGTGGTGGTGGTGGCGGCGATGGCACTGATTATGAGAATGGCTCTCGTCCTTTGAACTTTCTGCTTTGCGTTTGCCGTCAAATCCCGAGGTGGGTGTTAAGCAACGTTCGACTCAACACAAGCGTCGTCTTCCACCGTCGACATTGCACACCAGATCGTCGCTCCTTCGTCCGCTGTGCACGAGGCGAGCTTTGTGATCCTGGGCCCCCAAGTTGCGCCTCTGGCCACGTGTGGTCGTCACCTGTGCACGCTACTGTAAAGACGCGTCGCTCGTGACTGCTGCGAGCGAGTTGAAGCTCTCTCTCTCTCTGTCTCTCTCTGCTTTTGTTTAAAACAAAAACAACTGGTGGTGGTGGAGGAGGAAGAAGAAGAGAGGAATCGGGGAACATCTCCGTCGACGAAGTTGAAGCAACAGGCGACTCGTGAGCTCGTTTAGCCGCTCGAGGGAGGTAGAGACGCAGCCTTGCAACTGCGAGCTCCCGGGCCCCTGAGGTCGGAAGGTAACTCCATCACCACAACAACCACAACAACAACCACAACAGCAACAACAACCACAACAACAACCACCACAGCAACAACAACCACAACAACAACCACCACCACAGCAGGACGCGTCTGCTCGTTCCCGAGGGAGCTTCTCAAAGCCGCCTTGTGCAAGAGGGTTACTGTACCCATTCTAGCACTGCAACAACAACAACAACCACTGCAACAACAACTGCAACAACAACCACTGCAACAACAACCACTGCAACAACAACCACTGCAACAACAACCACAACAACAACTACTGCAACAACAACGGAACAGCGGCTGCTTCGTCGTCAAAACGTCGGCACGACGCGCGATGGACGACGCCGAAGAGTCGCTCGCGAGGCGCCCCTCGGGCCCTTCACGGCCGAGCCGGCAGCTGCGGGTGGCCTACGTGGACACGGCCCCCTCGGCAGTGGCCGCCTCGCTCCTGTCGGCCGCGGACTACGCGGGCACGGCCGACCGGAGGGAGTCGGCCACCTCGGGCGAGGGGGCCGCGGGTTTGACTCCTGGCGCGGGCGCTGCGAGCGGAGAGGCGGCGGCGGCGGGGCTGCTGTGCCTGGTGGCGGCCTGCGAGGCGATCGGCGGGTGGCTGGAGGCCGTCCCCTTCGGGAGCCTCGACTTCGGGGAGGCGGCCGTGCTGGACGCCTTCTACAACGCAGGTGGGGGAGCGGCGGGGGCCTCGCTCGGGGCGCGCCAACTCGGCACGCCGGAGTCCGACTGGCAGCCTCTGAAGGCGATGCCAGAGGGTCTTGGCCGTGCCGGGGGGGTGGGGGTCTTTGTCTGTGTGTGTCTGTCTGTGTGTGTGTCTGTGTGTCTGTCTGTGTGTCTGTCTGTGTGTGTGTCTTTGTGTGTGTCTGTGTGTGTGTGTCTTTGTGTGTCTGTGTGTGTGTCTTTGTGTGTCTGTCTGTGTCTTTGTGTGCGTCTGTGTGTGCGTCTGTGTGTGTAAGTGTGTGTGTAAGTGTGTGTGTGTCTTTGTGTGTCTGTGTGTGTGTCTGTATGTGTGTGTGTCTGTGTGTATCTGTGTCTGTATGTGTGTGTGTCTGTGTGTATCTGTGTGTGTGTGTGTCTGTGTGTGTCTGTGTGTCTGTGTCTGTATGTGTGTGTGTCTGTATGTGTGTGTGTGTCTGTGTGTATCTGTGTCTCTATGTGTGTGTGTCTGTGTGTATCTGTGTCTGTCTGTGTGTGTGTGTCTGTGTGTGTGTGTCTGTGTGTGTGTGTCTGTATGTGTGTGTGTCTGTGTGTATCTGTGTCTGTGTGTATGTGTCTGTGTGTATGTGTCTGTATGTGTGTGTATGTGTGTGTCTGTGTCTCTGTGTGTCTGTGTGTCTGTCTTTGTGTGTGTGTATATGTGTGTTCATGGCGTCTGTGACCACCACAGGGGCTAAACGGGGGCTCTGGACGGGTGCGAGTGGCTTGTAACCCCTCCACCTTCAAAAATTTACCTCTAAACCACGTCTAAAATATCTAGGCTGCGTTGGCTGGGTCATGTAGCCCGCATGCCCAGCCACCGCATGCCGAAACAGCTTTTGTTCGGCCGGATTGAGGGGGCTAAACGGGCGCGGCACGGGCTAGAGAAGAGATGGAGTGATGTGGTACAGGAGGACGTGGAGCTGAGTGGACTTGCCGATGACTGGTACCAGCGGTGTCAAGATCGGCCTCTGTGGAAGAGACTCGTGAAGAACGCTACTGGGCAGTTGGAGGCAGTCGCCCTCCAACAACAACGGAGGGCGGAGGAGCGACGCTCACAACAACGAGCGGAGCGCCGGGTGGCTAAAGCACAGCAGGTTGACACAGTAGGGGGCACAGGTGGTGCATCAGCCAGTCATCTCAGTCATCTCAGTCAGTCGACCCGTGGCACCTGGGTCTGCCCCGTGACCTGCCAGCGGGCGTTCGACACTTCACGTGGCCTCAAGGTGCACATGGCCTGGCACAAGCGTCGTGGTGACGTCACCGCCACTTAGTGGCGAATGGCTGTTGTTGTTGTAGTTGTTGTGTGTATATGTGTGTATGTGTGTGTGTCTGTGTGTGTCTCCACGTGTCATTGTAACTGAGAAGGTGATACTGCGGCTCCTCCTGTAACTCGCCCCGCGTGCCCCTATGACCCAAACAGTCAAAGGAGCCCTTCACTTCTCATGAGGCCACCGTGCTGCCCTTCCACCTATTAACAAAAACAACTATCATAAGATATTTTTTTTATTTTACCAGTTTAAGGCCCACTGAGCTATCTGGCTCCTTATTCAGAAGCGACCTGGCTATCACCACAAATGATAGCTCAACCAAGTGAGCTCTATCATGGTGCAAATGTATTGCAGCCAAATACACAACAACGCACGGTTACAGATGCGGAAGGGAAAACCGGGGGACCTGGAGAGAAAAAATCCACGCGACCACGGGGAGAGAGACACGTAAACTCAAACTAAAATAAAGACGTCAAGGTCGGGATCGAACCCACGACCTCCTCCATACCAGGCGAGGTAGTTAACATCTCCACTGGGAGAGACACGCAAACTACATATATACAGCAGGCGTCAGGGTCAGGATCGAGCCCACGACCTCCTGCATACCAGGCGAGGTAGTTAATATCTCCTAGCCACCGTGGCGCCCCTTCTCTTAAGCCAGAGAAACGTGGACCCCTTCACCCCCTTTAAAGGGGACATCTACGCCAGTGTGAAACATTCAGGATTCACAAAAAATCTCTTGGGTGATGACGTAGCCCGCAAGCGCCAAGCCACACCGCACTGCCAAGAGAATGCCAGTTTGGCCGGATAGTAGGGGGGGTGGTATTTAAAAGAGAGATTGTGATCTGTTGTGGTTACGAGGATGGGCTGTGTGAGCCGAGTGGATTGCATGGAGAGAGAGAGAGGGGGACAAGTGAGGACACGTGGGCTGAAGCGGTACCGAGTGGACCTGCCCGTGACCTGGTACCAGCGGTTTCAAGGTCAGCCTCTGCAGAGGAGGGAGGCACGTGAAGGACGCTTGCCCGGGCGGTTTGAATGTCAGGCATTTCTCACCCGGACATTATTTTCAATTTGTTCAGACAAACTGCAGTACGCATCGCGCAAACCGAACCCCTCGCCGTTTTGTGCGTGACGAACTTCGGTTAAGGCAGCGTCCCATGTCCAACTCGCTGGCATATGCGACCGCCGACCAGGTCAGATGCGTTAACATCAGTATCTCGTATCTGCACTGTATGTGTGCGTGCGTGTGAGTTTGAACGGTGTGTGTCTTTTTTTTACCGTGCGTCCGACTACTAAATGTGATTATACAGCCCCAAGTAAACACGCCAACGTTGCTCCAACGTTGAGCCTCGAGGTGTACACAAGGCCCAGTGCATTAGGACGACGGGCTTGCATATTTGCTGCGGTAGTGGTTAACAGACGCTCGGGATACGCTGTGTGCGTGCCTGTCGCATACCGCGGTGGGAGGGGAGGTGGGTTATGCCTAGCTCGAGGGATATGTTGCGTCCTGTGCATTGCAGGCGTGTCGAGCACAACGCGGGGTAAAGGCACAGCCCCCCGGCAAATGTCTTGCTCGGGCCACTGCTGCCGGAAGCGCCTCCACTCGAGGCAGCTATAGAAACACCCCCACCACCAGAGTGGTACTACCCACGCTTCGCCCCACCACGCGCGCCTTGCCGATCAAGGGACCCATTTCTATCGCTCATTTACGCTGCCGGGTGGACATGTGGGCAGGGGATTTAAGACACGTGCCCGTGAGTTCCACTCCCACACCGGGAGATCACACCGGTGACCTCCCTGTTGTCAGGCCGCTGTGCTAACCAGTCGCCCGCGGCAGGATGCTTCGTACAGCACACAACAGGAACCTGCGTGTAGTGTCCATTTAAATGTATGTACAGTGAGGAAAAAGTATTTGATCCCCTGCGGATATTGTACGTTTGCCCACTGACAAAGAAATGATCAGTCTATAATTTTAATGGTAGGTTTATTTGAACAGTGAGAGACAGAATAACAACAAGAAAATCCAGAAAAACGCATGTCAAAAATATTATAAATTGATTTGCATTTTAATGAGGGAAATAAGTATTTGACCCCCTCTCAATCAGATTTCTGGCTCCCAGGTGTCTTTTATACAGGTAACGAGCTGAGATTAGGAGCACACTCTTAAAGGGAGTGCTCCTAATCTCAGCTTGTTACCTGTATAAAAGACACCTGTCCACAGAAGCAATCAATCAATCAGATTCCAAACTCTCCACCATGGCCAAGACCAAAGAGCTCTCCAAGGATGTCAGGGACAAGATTGTAGACCTACACAAGGCTGGAATGGGCTACAAGACCATTGCCAAGCAGCTTGGTGAGAAGGTGACAACAGTTGGTGCGATTATTCGCAAATGGAAGAAACACAAAAGAACTGTCAATCTCCCTAGGCCTGGGGCTCCATGCAAGATCTCACCTCGTAGAGTTGCAATGATCATGAGAACGGTGAGGAATCGGCCCAGAACTACACGGGAGAATCTTGTCAATGATCTCAAGGCAGCTGGGACCATAGTCACCAAGAAAACAATTGGTAACACACTACGCCGTGAAGGACTGAAATCCTGCAGCGCCCGCAAGGTCCCCCTGCTCAAGAAAGCACATATACATGCCCGTCTGAAGTTTGCCAATGAACATCTGAATGATTCAGAAGACAACTAGGTGAAAGTGTTGTGGTCAGATGAAACCAAAATGGAGCTCTTTGACATCAACTCAACTCGCCTTGTTTGGAGGAGGAGGAATGCTGCCTATGACCCCAAGAACACCATCCCCACCGTCAAACATGGAGGTGGAAACATTATGCTTTGGGGGTGTTTTTCTGCTAAGGGGACAGGACAACTTCACCGCATCAAAGGGAGGATGGACGGGGCCATGTACCGTCAAATCTTGGGTGAGAACCTCCTTCCCTCAGCCAGGGCATTGAAAATGGGTCGTGGATGGGTATTCCAGCATGACAATGACCCAAAACACACGGCCAAGGAAACAAAGGAGTGGCTCAAGAAGAAGCACATTAAGGTCCTGGAGTGGCCTAGCCAGTCTCCAGACCTTAATCCCATAGAAAATCTGTGGAGGGAGCTGAAGGTTCGAGTTGCCAAACGTCAGCCTCGAAACCTTAATGACTTGGAGAAGATCTGCAAAGAGGAGTGGGACAAAGTCCCTCCTGAGATGTGTGCAAACCTGGTGGCCAACTACAAGAAACGCCTGACCTCTGTGATTGCCAACAAGGGTTTTGCCACCAAGTACTAAGTCATGTTTTGCAGAGGTGTCAAATACTTATTTTCCTCATTAAAATGCAAATCAATTTATAACATTTTTGACATGCGTTTTTCCGGATTTTGTTGTTGTTATTCTGTCTCTCACTGTTCAAATAAACCTACCATTAAAATTTTAGACTGATCATTTCTTTGTCAGTGGGCAAACTTACAAAATCAGCAGGGGATCAAATACTTTTGTCCCTCACTGTACCTTGCAGTCAAAGGTTGTTTGTGATTGTACCCCGTGTATAGGCTGCTGTGGGAGTGTTGGTGGGCCATCTGGCTAGTTAATCAATGCGGCCATACTCATTATATAAGGCCAATAAAACCCTCAATTAGGGATCATAAACTGATTTTTATAAACTCGTTTTCAAGAGGTTTCCTGCATCGAGATGAGTCTCACACGAGCAGTAA